CCATTCGTGACTACTCGTGTTATTCCGGAACAAGCCAAATAGTGAGGATACGGAAAGGGGCGAGTGGTGACGAATCATATCTTACATTTGATAAAGTGATAATTCCGAAATCGCAAGTTTTTCTGTTCTGTCAGAGTTTAGTACAAGCTATCTTTTTTCATTACCTGTTTTCAGAAAATTAAAAACTGTTTGTTGTTTTTCGACAGGTTGTTCATGTTTTCTTATAGAAAACAATTTATAAACCAACAAATAAAATAGCGCCTTTGGGATACTGATGAAGGGAATTTTGAAGGCCATCCTTGCTAAGTTTAACATACTGACTCGCGATTACTTTAGACTCAAACTGTATTGCTGCTAATATTCGTATTTCAAAAAACTATTCTCAGTGCTAGGAATATGGTTTGTTTTTTTAACAGATAGGGACCCGTGAAGATCCGGGTTAGAATTGGTCTTCAGCAACCCATGATTTTCGTAAGATGGGACTAACGGTATCTGATTGTCAGGCTCTCTGACTCATGGTTGACACATGCCATCCCAATTGCATAGATCCATGCTCATGTTGTTGATCACTGGATTGTCTGGTCCAGACTCTATCATTGACAGACCGCAGCCATTTTACTGTAATATCGCTGAGTGCGGCTTTAAACAACAACCAAACCACACATAAGGTAACATAACATGGTTTGTCCAGTCATATTTACGTGACCCGTTTACACTTGTGTTAAAGTTGTGTCATCTTTAGTAACTATAGCCTCCGTGGTGTAGTGGTTAGAGCGTCCGCCCGGAGAACGGAAGGTCGCGGGTTCGATCCCGGACCGCGTCATACCAAAAGACGTTAAAATATGGTACTTGTTGGTCCCTGCCTGGCGCTCGGCATTAATGGGTACAACAGGTACTGGTCGGCTCGGAGTCAGTATAATGTGTCTGAGTGGGGTATTCATGCTTCACTGCGGCATGGTATCTCAGTGGGCTAGCACTATAAAACCAGCTTAAGTCTGGGCTAGTACAAGCAGCCGCACATACACATACACACGCATGCACGTCGTCATATGAGCGAAATATTCTCAAGTACGACGTTAAACCCAATTTCACCTCACCTCACCTTTAGTAACTATAAACCTGGTTGTCATAGGTAACACGCTGTAAGTGTTCTTTGTTGTGACCGCACGCTGTTCCATATTCGGGAGATATAAGCACTTCTCCCGTTGTCGTCTGCTTCACGCCTAATCGATCGTCTGACTAATCTAACGCTGTTGGTCACGTGTGAAAGACAAATATGGTAATCTGCAAATATGGTGACTCTGGGTATAAGATCTAGACACGGTATATTTTGTGAAGTCAAGTTTCAATATTTAGAGGCGACTAACGGGATCAGGCGGTCAAGCTTGCTGACTTTGTTGACACATGTCATCATATCCCAATTGCGTAGATTGATGATCATGATGTTGATCGATTATTCACAGAACTCTGCCATAGAGCTGGAATATTGCTACGTGCGGCATAAAACTAAACTCACTCACTCCCATTGGTCGTAAACTGCAAACCAGGATTGAGAACCGAAAGAAGTGACCACTGAAATCCTGTGACACCAGGTGTTCGTAATATGGCTAACCATGTAAACTAAATATGTGACAACGGGTTTGAATTGTCCATTTTCTGCATCAAAATAATTGTTTCAATAACAGTTTCAGCTCTTTCCCAAATCCTGTTACACCTTTCATGCTTAGAGGACTCGACTGAGAACATAAATCTGCAGGCACATCTTCCTCTCGAACGTATGCAATCCTAGAACTGTCGCCTCAAGGGAAATGTGCCAAAAAAGGGTTAATAGAACGCGAGACAACATGACGCTGTGACATATTTTCACCTTGAAAACTGTCAAGCTAATTATATTATTCAAAGCGCGACAAGCGACATATGACCAAAATGTGGCATTGTTCATGTCGAAACGTTTTGCCTGTTTTTGTATGGACAACAACTATGCGACAATATGCCTTCTGGGAGTCCATACGGAAGTGTGTTTGGGCTAATATATAAATAACACACTTCTTATCTGAAATGAAATTCCAAACAAAGGTGTTCCGCTATGTATTTACCCGGTTACCAAGGACCAATGAAAGTCACCACATCTTATCTTGTCCAATCGCTGCATATGAATAATTGACATCCGGGCATTTGCTCGTTAAAGTAAACATGAACCCGTCATCCAACATTCCTCTGCATTCGGGGACGCTATCTACGACGTGCTCAACGTCCACACCCTGTTCTGCTGCATCCGGGTCCTTTCTAATATGTTGCCGAGATCGCGTGGTCAGGCTCGCTGACTTGGTTGACACATGTCGTCGTGCCCTAACCGCGTGGTTCGATGCTGATGATGATGATCACTGGATTGTTTGGTTCAGACTTAATTATTTACTGACCGCCGCCATATAGCTGGAATATTGCTGAGTGTGGCGTAAAACAAAACTGGCTCACTCACTCGTACAACGTGGCGATTACGAATAAAGTTATTTAAAGGAATCAGGTTCATCATTTCATATCGAGAAATATTGACTTAAGTGTCACGAGTAAGTTATTGCTAAGGTAAACGTCACGTGAACTACTGAAACCAGTAAGTCCAGTTTCTTGCGACTGTGGCCAGACAAGACCTCTTGTATGTAGGTGAGGGAGCTATTCTGTCTCACAGTCCCTGAACCACATTATTTTCCCTACTGCCCAGCCCTCCCTGCAATGTAGTCTGTCTCACAGTCCCTGAACCACATTATTTCCCCTACTGCCCAGCCTTCCCTGCAATGTAGTCTGTCTCACAGTCCCTGAACCACACTATTTTCCCTACTACCCAGCCCTCCCTGCAATGTAGTCTGTCTCACAGTCCCTAAACCACATTATTTCCCCTACTGCCCAGCCCTCCCTGCAATGTAGTCTGTCTCACACTCCCTGAACCACATTATTTCCCCTACTGCCCAGCCCTCCCTGCAATGTAGTCTGTCTCACAGCCCCTAAACCACATTATTTTCCTTACTACCCAGCCCTCCCTGCAATGTAGTCTGTCTCACAGTCCCTAAACCACATTATTTTCCTTACTATCTAGCCCTCCCTGCAATGTTAAAACCCTAGATGAAGCAAGTCTAGATTTCCTCAGGGTCTGAATCTCCCATCTCACTGGGACTCCTTTTCAATTAAAGTGGGTTCATTTGTTTCTCTCAAAATTATATATTTTCAGAAACTAAGCGTTAGTCAAGTGAAGAGCCGTCACTGTTTGCTGGAAGTGTTTCACTATGTACCACTATACACCACTTCATATCACTATATATCACTGTATATCATGTAATCCCCAAGTTCACCCACGCACATATATAAACTCGCTTCATCGCTCAGGACCGTTTCAGGATAACAGAATCATATTATGGCTTCAGTGATTTCGAAATTTGAGGTACTGATTTGAGATAAAAAATACAACAAGCGCCTTTTGCACGAGGAAATCAGTGGTATTGGCTTGTGAAACTCCCGTTAACCCGGAAACCCCACCTTCCGAACGATTTTATAGGGGAGTGTCTACATGTTGGAGGAAGTCCGCCATTTTCCCTGATTTGTTAAATACGGATGATTCAACTAGGGAGTATCTACATATTGTGGGATTGAATCCATGATTCGTTAATCGCAGTAATTAACTTTATTGGAGAATATTTTTATAATGTAGGGACATCACGCCCTTCCAAAGATTCGTTCATCAAAAGGATTTTGGGTCTATATAATATTAAAATATCACTTCTTGTCTGTGAATTGTTGACCAATAGGATCTTATTGGAGAATGTCTATTTATTGTAGGGACATCACACATGATTAGGTAATCGAAAAGATATTTAGGGATATCTATATATTGTAAAGGACATAACGCCCTACCCACGATTTGTTAATCAGAAAGATACTTAGGTGGAATATCTATATATCGTAGGAGCATCACGCCCAATCCATGATTTGTTAATCAGAAAGATATATGGGTGGAATATCTATATATTGTTGGAGCATCACGCCCAATCCATGATTTGTTAATCAGAAAGATAGCTTGATGGAATATCTATATATTGTTGGAGGATCACGCCCAATCCATGATTTGTTAATCAGAAAGATATATGGGTGGAATATCTATATATTGTAGGAGCATCACGCCCAATCCATAATTTGTTAATCAGAAAGATATATGGGTGGAATATCTATATATTGTAGGAGCATCACGCCCAATCCATGATTTGTTAATCAGAATGATCTTACTGGGGGAGACCTATGCATTGTAGGGACATCACACCCTGTCCATGATTTATTAATTTGGGTAATATAACTATATTGTATCTACTCATTGCCTATCCATAACTCATATAACTATTAATTACCTATCAAAGTATCTACCCATCTGTCTCACTGTCTATCCAAGTACCAATCTACCCATGTATCCGTCTATCGGCTATCTATCAAGGTGTCGGTCTATCTAAAGTGGATTACTTTAGCGGATTGTGGTAATTATCCGTAGGATCCTATATGCAGGTATTACTAATTGTATTTTAAGACCATACAACCTTCCTATCAGTAGCGGCGGTGAGGTAGTCCGATGGTTAAAGCGTTCGGGATCGATTTCCCACATAGCTACAATGTGTGAAGCCCATTTCTGGTGTTCCCCAGTATCCGTGCTAAGTTTATCTGTAACCCACAACTCAGTATTAACCTCCTCGGACACTCCTTTCATTGCGACACACTGTTATCTTTGAGAAAGCAGCCGGTGTGTGGGCAAAAAGTATCTAAGAAAATTCTGCCAGAAATGAAATAGAGAAATATATTTAGCCATGGATTATATTCTACAAAAATGACTTTTAAAATTGTTTTAACTGTCTTTATGTATAATCTGGATAGTGAACTAACGAAATATAAAATACATGATTCCATTTATACACTGCGGTTTTATTATCATGGGAAACGTTTTTCATAGGGGTCATTTTCCTATTACACCGGTCAGTATATAAAGCTGTGCGGTTGTCCTCGGTATTACTTATTGAACTAACGTTCGGAAAGAGAGTCATCAAGTCTGGATAAAATGTCAGCCACCAAAGTTCTTTGTGCTTCGTTGGTCTGTTTGGTGCTATACAGTAAGTAAATTATTTGTCTGTTGTGTGTTTGTTTCATTGAATGTTTTTCTTCATGTATCTGGCGCCATTCTCGGGGGCCACGCAGATAAAATGAGATAAAACGTTGCATTTTTACTTTCCAAGAGTGCAGTTTGGTTGCTTCCTGATTAAAGCAATTATACTCAAAGTGACGGTTGATTGCGGTTTATTGCATATAATAACATAAATATGTGCCATTTTGGTTCTGCCAATTCATCGTATCTTAAGAATTTTCAGGTACATCGAATTGTGGTCATCACAATCAAATAAGAATGAAAAGGGGTTGATTATTTTCAGGATTCAATTTACACTGAGCAAAACTAACTCTTATCCCAGCATATATCCCAACCCCTCGCACAATATGCTAATGTTGACGTAACACGCAGTAACAGGGGTGGTGGGGTAGCCTAGTGGTTAAAGCGTTCGCTCGTCACGCCGAAGATCCGGGTTCTATTCCCACATGGGTACAATATGTGAATCCCGTTTCTGGTTTCCCCCGCCGTGATATTGCTGGAATATTGCTAAAAGCGGCGTAAAACTAAACTCACTCACTCACTCGCAGTAACATAATCGGGCCTGTAAGTAGGTTACGGCAGTTACGTCAGTACTCCCGCTGACAAACAATGTGCACTTGGTCCGGTCTAGTAAAGTCATAACTGGCGGTCGCGCAATTTGGAACCAGAACTGGTTCATGAATACACGCTTGTCACCGGAAATTTGGTACCGGAAGTAAGCTAGGACCCGTCTCGCATATCGCAAGTTGGCGCGCGCAAAGAGAGCCAGGGTGCAGCTTAGTACCGGAAGTACCTTAGTACCGGAGACTTACAGGCCCTATAAACGTAAGGCCTAAATTACTAGTAACAAACCTTCATAAAGAATGTAAGTGTGGTCTTCAGGAGGTCACTAAAGGCGGTCTTACTGAGGTAGGTCACTGGCTAAAGGAACACTGCGCAGAACGCAGAATGTCAAATCAATTAATTTTTCAAAAATTTACTATTTGTCGGCGGACCCTTTTCGCGAACACCTAGTGTCATCATTGATTTTAATATGGTCCGTCCATATTATTTTCACAGCTATTTTGACCTTTACAAAAAAAACGAATCTCTTTCTGAGGATAGCCCAAACTGGTAGAAATCAGTTTGCTTTCTTTTTCGAACATCGAATATACGTCATTGCATTGAGCGTTGACATATATCAAAAGCTGCTTCATTACAGAGAGGGGCGGTCGGTAGCCTAGTGGCTAAAGCATTCGCTCGTCAGCCGAAGACCCGGGTTCGATTCCCAAATGGGATAAAAATTTGTGAAGCCCATAAATCCTGGTGTCCCCAGCCGTGATGTTGCTGCAATATTGCTATAAGCGGCGTAAAACCAAACTCACTCACTCACACATTACAGAGAACAGACACAAGAACTTCCAATGGGTAGCCTCCATCACCAGTGTAGGAGATTGCCTGTTGCTGCGACTGTCACAATGTGTTGTGGTGTTGCTAACCTGGACTCGGCTTAGAGCAGCCGCGCTTATCAGGGCGTTGGGAAATACCAGCAGACTGAGGATCGTGTACGTAGAGATTATCTTACACTTCTGTGTTTCGACAGAACTGGAGCTTATCACTGATGTTGATTGTTGACATTGCGAAGGGAACAATGTTTGATTTTGAGCGACAATAGCGTAAATAATCTACAGTTATGAGTGAGTGAGTTTTACGCTGCTTTTAGCAATATTCCAGCAATATCACGGCGGGGGACACCAGAAATGGGCTTTACACATTGTACCTATCTGGGAAATCGATCCCGAACGCTTTAACCATCGGACTGCCTCACCGCCCCAACTGTTAGGTAAGATGGCTGTATGTTATTAAAATACAATTAGTAATACCTGCATATAGGATCCTACGGATAATTACTATGTTAATCCACACAAAGTGTTTGTATAAAAACATCACACTATTATTGACGTAATACAAAGACTTCCGTTGACGTAATAATTAATGACGTCACAATGCTTAATCGTTCTCGCCATGTTAGCTTTAGAACCCAGTCTCGCTCAGAAATATAGAAATAACCACACTCTCACTGTCGGTTGCATCTCAAACTAGGTCAATAGGGGTTTTAATCCTATATATCCGGGCGGATTTGTTTTCCGGTTCCCGTTGGTTGTTCGTACTCGATTTTGCTAAAGAGTAAGTTTTATGACATCCAAAATCATGTAAGAAATAAGCAATCATTGGGTGACCCCTTTCGGATCACAATTTCATGATGGCGGGACTAATGCATGGATTCATTCCTAGAAATATTTATATAGCGCTAGTTTCTGGCATGTGCCGCTCAAAAGCACTGGAGACGAGTCAGGGAAGTCATTGTTTAAGTATGGTAGGCAGAACTACAGAAATGCTTTTTCAGTTGTGAAAGCAGTCGTGCACCCTTAGCGTCAAAGAATTGAAGCAGATATATCCGTGATCAACACAAGGTCGTGTTTTACACGTCTTTAGTGTGAGAGAAAGTGTAGTCGATATCACCCGCCTGAAGCAGCTACCCTGCAGGTGGTCGACAGCGTTCCACCACACAGGCAGAAACATTATTGTACATTTAAAATCGTTACACTTTCAGTTCCGTTTTAATTTGGTAGTATGATAGAATATTATACAGCTCTTTCCTGAGAAATACGTTGCAGTTTGAAATATCCCTGTATACAGTGATTGGACAACTTCTACTGGACTTCAGCTTCAAGAGACCGAGGCATGCGGTAATGTATGCTGCGTGCTTGAAAACCTGTTTTTGGATGTATCGTGACGGATTGTTGAACATCATTATCAGGGCAGCAAAGGAACATTTGCCAGTGAGGACTTCAACAACTGTATTGGAATAGAACCCGGGTCTCGAGTGACGAGAGAACGCTTGAACAACTGGGCTACCCCACCGCCCTTGGTCTTATGCAGATGCAACAACGGTTGGTGATGTCAGGAATAAAGGTTGTTTTGTTTGTTTCAGTTGGTGCCGTTGATGCAGGATGTGGAACTTTCTCGCAGATCAAGCTCGGGACGTGCGTGGCGACATTTTCTACCGCCAATTTACTTAACCTTAGCAAGCGCCAGAAACTTCTCAATGATGGCAACAATAGCTGTCCCACAGACATTTTCAAGGATAGCTGCCCGTAAGTTGAAAGGTCGAATAATGTGTTAGAGTAACCCTCATTAACAGTGGCTGGGCTGGGGTGGAGGGCTAGGGTGGTCCAGGCGAAGGCACAGCAATCCTCTGAGCAGAGACCACGCCCCAAAATTATAATTCCGGGTTTGAATCCCGGTCCGCTGCGAATCATGTTTCGAGGTATCTCTGCACCTCAAATATGTTCGTGTGTGTCACCAACTTGGAATTGTCTAATATCTGCAATACTGTTGAACGTTTAATTTCTTTGAGAGGCATTTTAGAAGTTGTGAAGATGAAGGAAAACTGATTTCTATGGATAGTCAACTTCTTTATTGCAATGAGTGCGACGTTTCGGTGTAGGTAACAGAACGTCGCACTCATTGCAATAAAGAAGTTGACTATCCATAGAAATCCGTTTTCCTGTTGAACGTTGTAAATTCGTTTCAACCCTACTTACACGTAAATAAAAGTGAATCGAAAGTTGGCCGTTCTAAACACTGCACTAGCAACATCAGGGGCGGATCCAGGATTTGGGAGAAGGAGAAGGGGAAGTGTGTGTGTGTGTGTGTGTGGGGGGGAGAAGTTGCATGCATTTGTACAAGTAATATTTTCCAAATAATATGAACAAGTCAAAAACAAAGTCAATAAAAACATTTTTCTTACAGCCAAAAATTATCAGTTCAAAAGAGTCTCCTCTGGATCCGCCCCTGAACATGAATCTCTGTGTTTGTTGTACAATAAATTGGTTTATGACGCATCACACCCTTAGGAAAGTTGGACCTTATCTGAAAATGAATTGCCAAATTATCACACATGCAGGTCGCGCATTTCACTCAGGTCAAACAGGTCAGACAGATTTACAACGTCGGTAAGCATAACGGTTGAGATAAAACCGACCAGGTCAAGGTCATATGTAGCAGTTACCGAGAATGACATTTAATGGTTTCATGGTAACGCATATTACCACAGCATGTTCTCGGTATCGGATGTTTGGACCACTGGATACTTGATAAAGGGCTACCATGTTAGTGGCAACACTGAAGATGCATAAACAACTAAATGCATAGTAGATAGATAGATAGATGGATGGATGGATGGATGGATGGATGGATGGATGGATGGATGGATGGATGGATGGATGGATGGATGGATGGATGGATGGATGGATGGATGGATGGATGGATGGATGGATGGATGGATGGATAGATAGATAGATAGATAGTCATGCTAGTGCATTTGGATGTTCTTCGAACTGCTCCCATGACATCTTCTCGTTCAATGCAAAACATCCAAATGCACAAGTATGAAGTTCTATATTTATGATATACCCTCTTATCTTTTTATCTGTTACGTAATAAAACCAATCATAGCGTAGCGGTAGGGGTTCAATACGGAATCTACCCGTGAAGGTCCGGGTTAGAATATTGATCTTCAGTTACCAATGCGTGTCTTAAGAGGAGACTAACGGGATCGGGTAATCAGGTTCGCTGACTTGGTTGACACATGTCATCGGTTCCAAATTGAGCAAATCGATGCTCGTGCTGTTGATCACTGGATTGTCTGGTCCGGACTCAGTTATTTACAGACCGCCGCCATAAAGCTTGAATATTGCGGCGTAAAACTAAACTCACTTACTCAATACGGAATGTGCGGTGCAATACGGATTTTGACCACGTCATCCGTATTGCACCCCTGTATTGCTATTCTAAATTTACATGGGTATAAAATAAATAGAGATTATTACACGAGCAAGTGTGTGTCATACGCCTTATGCGAAACGAGTGTGAACTTTTGTAATACATAATTTTGCACGAGTTTCGTATAAGTACTATGACGCACTTTCTCGAGTGTAATAATTTCTTTATTATCTATTTTATTCATGTTTATTTGTGCAGTAAAACACGGTAAGCAAGTGTGGCGGTCCTCTTCACATTTTATTGTTTAATGACGTCACTGACGACGAAATACAGAAACAATGGTTGCTGGGAAAAGTGATATATGTCTGGTCCAGACTCGATTGTTTACATGCCGCCGCCATATAGCTGGAATATTGCTGAGTGCGGCGTAAAACAACAAAACTTCAAATGCGTAATAACACTTTACTGTTTCATTTTGAGTGAGTGAGTGAGTGAGTTGAGTTTTACGCCGCACTCAGCAATATTCCAGCTATATGGCGGCTGTCTGTAAATAATCGAGTTTGGACCAGACAATCCAGTGATCAACAGCATGAGCATCGATCTGCGCAATTGGGAACCGATGACGTGTGTCAACCAAGTCAGCGAGCCTTACCACCCGATCCCGTTAGTCGCCTTTTACGACAAGCAGTCGCCTTTTATGACAAGAATGGGTTGCTGAAGACCTATTCTACCCCGGATCTTCACGGGTCGTTTCATTTTGAAGTGAACGCGAAATGTATCACCGGAAATTATTTGTGATAATCAATGTATGAATATTCAGGATGAATATTCAAATGCCCTCTCTTCCCCAGATCCTTCCATGCCATGAAGGGGTGTGTCGAACTGGATGGTTTCCCTTCAGGATGTGAAGCGGAATATGACAAAAAACTCAGTAAGCTTATGAGTAACACTTCATTGTATGTATCCTCTCTTACTCCGTCCCCTTGCTGGGACCCTTCATTCAGTTCCCTTTATCTGTCCCCTCACTATGTCCCCTTACCCCGTCCCCTTACACTGTCCCCTTACCCCATCCCCTTACTCTGTCCCCTTACTCTCTGTCCCTTCAGCCCGTCCCCTCACTATGTCCCCTTACCCCGCCCCCTTACTTTGTTCCCTCACTCTCTGTCCCTTCAGCCCGTCCCCTTACACTGTCCCCTTACCCCTGCCCCCTTACTCTGTCCCTCACTCTCTGTCCCTTCAGCCTGTCTCCTTACACTGTCCCTCACTCTGTCCCTTACTATGTCACTTCACTGTGTCCCCTTACCCCTGCCCCTACTCTGTCCCCATTACACTGTCCCTCACTATGTCCCCTTACTCTGTCCCTCACTCTCTGTCCCCTCTTACTCTGTCCCCTCACTCTCTGTCCCCTTACCCCTGTCCCCTTACTCTGTCCCTCACTCTCAGTCCCTTCACTGTGTCCCATCACTCTCTGTCCCCAAGCCAGCCTCACTATGTCCCCTTACTCTGTCCCCTCACTCTCTGTCCCCTTACACTGTCCCCTTACTCTGTCCCCTCACTCTCTGTCCCCTTACTATGTCCCCTTACTATGTCCCCTTACTATGTCCCCTTACTCTGTCCACTTACTATGCCCCTTACTCTGTCCCCACTCTCTGTCCCCTTACCCCTGTCCCCTTACTTTCTCCGCTCACTATGCCCCCTTACTCTGTCCCTCACTATGCCCCCATACTCTGTCCCTCACTATGCCCCCTTACTCATTCCCCTCTTACCCCGTCCCCTTACTCTGTCCCTTTACCCGTCCCTCATTATGTCACCTTACTATGTCCCTCCGTTCCTTCACTCTGTCCCTCTTCCCGCCCCCTCACTCTGTCCCTCATTCCGTCCCCTCACTGTGTCCCTCTTTCCGCCCCCTCATTCTGTAACCTCTTTCCTGCCCCTCACTCTGTCCCCTCTTTCCGCCCCCCTCACTCTGTCCCCTCTTTCCGCCCCCTCACTCTGTCCCTCTTTCCACCCCCTCACTCTGTCCACACTTTCCGCCCCCTCACTCTGTCCCTCTTTCCGTCCCCTCACTCTGTCCCTCTTTCCGTCCCTCACTCTGTCCCTCTCCGTGCCCCTCACTCTGTCCCTCTTTCCGCCTCCCTCACTCTGTCTCCTCTTTCCACCCCTCACTCTGTCCCTCTCTTTCTGCCCCCTCACTCTGTCCCCTCTTTCCGCCCCTCTCTCTGTCGCCTACGGTCCCTTACTGTGTCCCTTTACCCCGTCCCCTCACTCTGTCCCCTCATTCCATCCCCTCACTCTGTCCCCTCCGTCCCTTCCCTCTGTCCCCTCTTTCCGCCCCCTCACTCTGTCCCTTCACTCTGTCCCCTCATTCCGCCCCCTCTCTCTGTCCTCTCCGTCCCTTACTGTGTCCCTTTACCCCGACCCCTCTATACTCTCACTCCGTCTCCTTACCTTGAGCTGATAACGATGTTCACATTTTTCACTTAATAAATTCCGAGATTCTAATTTTGTCGGTAAATTTAATGCTGGGATTGCATATATATAAGTGTGTGTTTTGAATGATTTCTATTTTGTAATTGCAGAGGAACAAAAGATTGCATGCACACACACGGAGCTGTTAAACTTGTGTGGAGGTATGTGTATCGTGTGATAGTGAGTGAGTGATTGGGTGAGTGATTGGGTTGGTGGGTGGGTGAGTGAGTGAGTGAATGAGTGAGTGAGTGAGTGAGTGAGTGAGTGAGTGAGTGAGTGAGTGAGTGAGTGAGTGTGAGGGTGTGAGTGAGTGAGTGAGTGAGTGAGTGTGTGGCTGAGTGAGTGGGTAAGTGAGTCGGTGTATACCCAGCTTTGGACAGTCCTCCACATATATTCCTGAGGGCGAATCAAAGATCACGTTACCACTTTGCTGAACCCCACGGGTATGAGTGTGACAAGCTATAGAAATATAGTCGAACCTGGATTCAAAGGGCACCAAGGGCACGCAACTCTGCCAACAACTTGCCTCGCCTTTGGCGACTGGGGTAGCCTAGTGGTTAAATCCTCCACTCGTCACGCCGACGACCCGTGTTCGTTTCCCCACATGAGTACAATGGGTGAAGCCCATTTGTGGTGTATCCCTCAGCGATATTGCCTGAATATTGCTAAAAGCGGCGTAAAACTAAACTCACTCACTCACTGAAATTGTTGAACTGTATTTGTTATAAATTCTATAGTCGTAACTGATATGATATTTTCTTCTTGTTGAGACGTGTAAACATGACAATCTAAAAGGAAGGTAACATATTACCTTATCTGATTTTTCTTGCGAATTGTGAATTCTCTTCTATTTTTTTTACCTGAAAACATCACAATCTAAACGATAGGCGCCACCTAACCTTGCCTGATTTTACCTGTGCCTCTGTTTAATTGTGAATTCTCTTCTCCTTTGTGACGTGAAAACATGACAATCTAAGAGAAAGGTACCGCATTTCCTAATCTGATTCTACGTGCGCGTCTATTTATATTAAACTCTCTTCTCGGTTTTTTACCTGAATACATGACAATCTAAAAGATAGGCGCCGCCTTACATTGCTTGATTTTACTTGCGCTTCTATATATCTGTAAATACGCACATGCGGTGAAAGCCGATGTCTGACGTCTGATATCTGGTAAACCAAAATATTCACTTCTGTGATTGTCCAGGTGCGCCTGCAGTGGTGACCAGCTTCACTCTGCTCATCACATGTCTCATCGCCATCTTCAGCTTGTAACATCTTGAAGAAAATCAGGTACGTTATTAACATTTTACCACAAAAAAATACTTGTAGTGAAACGGATGATAGAACTATCTATGAATTGCAGGGTGTCATGTGGAAATGATAATGTTATAGGGTGTCATGTGGAATTGATAATATAACAGGTGTCATACGGAAATGATACTATTGCAATGTGCTATGAGGAAATAATAATATTACAGGTGTCATGTTGAAATGATACTATTACAGGTGTGATGTTGAAATGATAATATAACCGGTGTCACGTGGAAATGATACTATTACAGGTGTCATGCGGAAATGATACTATTACAGGTGTCATGTGTAAATGATAATTCTATAGTGTCATGTGGAAATGATAATATTATAGAGTGTCAAGTAGAAATGACAATATCATAGGGTGTTATGTGGAAATGATATATTAGAGGGTGTCATGTGTTAATGATAATATTACAGGGTCTCAAGTGGAAATGACAATAACATAGGTTGTCATATGGAAATGATATATTAGATGGTGTCATGTGGAAATGATAATATTATAGGGTGTCTTGTGGAAATGATAATATTACAGGTGGCATGTTGAAATGATACTATTACAATGTGCCATGTGGAAATGATAATATTATAGTCATGTGGAAATGATACTATTACAATGTGCCATGTGGAAATGATAATATTATAGTCATGTGGAAATGATAATATTGGGTGTCATGTGGAAATGATAATATTGGGTGTCATGTTGAAATTATGATATTGCATGGTGTCATGTGGAAATGATGCTATTGCAGGGAATCATGTGGAAGTAAAATCTATATTCCAAATTATATTTTTAAAAATATATTTCAGTCTGTGATTACTGAAATTGTGAATGTTAAATTGTTAGATCACAATTATCAGCATGGTAATTTTACAGCTATCAGAATAGTTTCGAAATAAGTTTCTCTATAAGATTCTCTATGAACACCGTAGCTGGATCGTCATAATCTTGGACAAGGTTACGTTTCCGACTTCCGACTTTGTGAAGGTAGAACACCATACTCACAAGAGGAGGATGGTTCCCCGTAACGACCTGCCATTTACTGCAGAAAGGGAGGCTGGAGGGAAAACCGTATGGTTTGATCATTGGTTGAAAACACGTTGGTTCTTATTTTCCGTTTGATATATACTGAGTCAAAAAAGAAACTTCACATTCTTTCTTCAGGGCACTATAAAAGAACAAGAGATGGTAAGATGGTTAAATTGTTATTATTTCATTGCTGAGATCTGTGTGATGTACTCGATACACTGACAGTGCCATAATCAGTTCCATTAGGCTACACCGCCGTTCGAAAACATGGGTGTACAGAATGTCAAGTCACAAGAATAAAAATGCGAAATTTCTCAGTTCAATATCGTGTATGGCCGCCCCGCGCATTCACCACTGCCGAACACCGTCTCCTCATCGACTGCCTGATGCTTGTGAACACGTGGTTGGGGATTCTGCGCCATTGCTCTTGCAAGGCAGCGCCAAGTTCCTGCAAATTCTGAGGTTGGTTCCTAAGACCACGAAGCCTTCTCCCAAGTGCATCCCAAACGTGCTGTATTGGATTAAGGTCAGGGGACCTCGATGGCCAGTCCATGACGTTGATTCCAGCGTTTTGAAGGAAATTTCGTGTCAACATCGCGGTATGCGGCCGAGCATTATCATGCTGGAACTGTAGACCTGGGCCATGGGCCGCCATGAAAGGAACGAGTTCAGGGGTGAGCACCTGGTCGCGGTAAGCAGCAGCTGTGAGGTTTCCACGGATGACCAGAAGTCGGGAACGATCGTTCACACAGAAAGCACCCCACACCATGCAACTTCCGCCCCCGAATCTGTCGACTTCCTGTACACAACATTGGGCATACCGTTCACGACGTCGTCTCCAGATTCTATGCCTGCCGTCCACGAATCTGAGGGTAAACCTGGATTCATCGCTAAAGACGACTCGATTTCAGTCTCTCTGGGTCCATCGGAGGTGACGTTGGGCCCACAGCAGACGTTGACGTTGATGAAACGGCGTCAATATTGGCCCACGATATGGACGTCGAGAATAGAGATTGGCAGCCCGCAACCGATTTCGAATGGTCTGTGAGGACAGTCGACCTCTAAGCATCTCAGCCCTGGTTCGTGTAGCCGGCAGAAATCTGTCACGTAGGTGACGTGGGACGATTTGACGGTCTTATGCTCGTGACGTCACACGTGGACGACCCGACCTTGGGCGATCAGAAGTGGTGCCAATTTGTTGTAGACGACCTCGCAAGTCATACACAGTACGACGGCTGCATCCCATTGCTCTTCGACGTCAATAACTGATCTTCCCGCTTGCAACATGCCAACGGCACGTTCACGTTGCACATTTGACAATCGTGGCATTTCAAGTACCGTTAGAACTGTGGTTTAAAAGTGTTTTTTTCAATCCTTGAGGCCAATGCAATCACGTGCAGAAAACTTCGATGCGAAGATCACGTGATCGACTGCACGTGCAAAACCTGATTTGGCACTGACGTCATTTGCACGACGAATGGATGGGTTTGAGTGGGTTTTGCTCACGTTTTTCTAGAGTTGAAAGATAGGGATCTCATTTCGGATACATAGATGTATCATCAGAGAAAAATTATTCATTATTTTTCAAATTACATTTTGTGAAGTTTCTTTTTTGACTCAGTATTTGTTTGCTTTTTACTCTTACTCTTAGGATGTCGGGTCAGGCACGTCGGTCCGTCGGTACTTATACAGAACTTGAACATTTAATAATCCTTTCGTATTTCTTTCCCTTACAGAGAGGTACTCACGGGATGTTCAGAATCGACGGGAATATTGTGAACCCGGCTTACGTGTGCTTCTGAGGACGAGGCCAGCAACATCGCACTGAGCTGTACATGTCTCTCCACCAATCAACGTACTATGCAGCAGCATTATAATCATTTTTTAAAGACCACATGTTCCGTGTTTTGGAAACCAATTTATGTAGTTTTTTTATGGAAATTAAATCGAATTCCGTGGAAGATGGCAATGTGATGACTGTGTTTAGCCATTTGGAGGCTTACTAAGGCGCCGTGTTATTGGTATAATATACCGCATGATATATAAAGCTCTGCCCTAATGATCTAGGGGGCGTCATGATTGTTATAAAAGCGTCGCACCATTGATCGGATATGCTGCATCATTGGCATAAGACGCCGCACGATGTATAAAGCGCTGCCCTATCGAACTCTGGCACGTCATCATTGATATAAAAGGGTCACACCATTGGTCGGATACGCTGCATCATTGGTGTAATGGTGTAAGACGCCGCACGATGTATAAAGATCTGTCCTTTCGAACTCTGGCACGTCATCATTGATAAAGGGTCACACCATTGGTCGGATACGCTGCATCATTGCCATAAGACGCCGCACGATGTATAAAGATCTGCCCTATCGAACTCTGGCACGTCATCATTGATATAAAAGGGTCGCACCATTGGTCGGATACGCTGCATCATTGGTGTAATGGTGTAAGACGCCGCACGATGTATAAAGATCTGCCCTATCAAACTCTGGCACATCATCATTGATATCGAAGGGTCGCACCATTGGTTGGATACGCTGCATCATTGGTGTAAGGCGGCGCACGATGTTTAAATATCTGCCCTATCGAACTCTGGCACGTCATCATTGATATAAAAGGGTCGCACCATTGGTCGGATACGCTGCATCATTGGTGTAAGACGCCGCACGATGTATAAATATCTGTCCTCCCGAACTCTGGCACGTCATCATTGATATAAAAGGGTCGCACCATTGGCCGGAGATGCTGCACAATTATGTTCTGCTAATATTCACATTTAATACGTGAGTAATGAGTGAAAAAAATTAAAAATTACAATCTTTAAATTCTCAATAATTTCTGGTTGTACTGTAATTAGGGCTAATTGAGTTGAAGGTGTCACCTGTTTATAAAAGGTTTTGAAGTTTACGAATTCATACATGATAGCAAACTAAGTTGACTGCTCCCAGTAAACCGACAGTGTGAGACGTTGCTCGTAATGTCAATCACAGGTTTGCCTGGCTCTCATAGGTATTAAGATGGTGACTTCATCCACCTAGAATATTTCTGCCAGTGACGCTTAACATCGAATGATGCGTGAAGAGGACCTGAAGTGGAGGTATGAATTGCTGCTGTTACATATAATTCACCCATAATGGTGACTATCGATCCCGTTCAGAAGAAGACGGTCCCGATTCACTCTGTACCTTATTGATAGAACCCGTGAAGATCCGGGATAGAAGTGGCCTTCAGCACCTGCTTGTCGTAAGAGGCGACTATTAGGATCAGGTTGTCATGCTCACTGACCTGGTTGACATATGTCATTGTATAGCATGCATAGACCGATGAGCATGTTGTTGATCACTGGATTGCCTGGTTAAGATTATTTACACATAATTCCACCTCTTCTTGATGACGTGGACCTGTGAAGATCCGGGTTACAATTGGTCTACAGGAACCCATGTTTGTCGTAAGAAATGACAAACGGGATCGGGAAGCCAGGCTCGCTGATATGGTTGACACATGTCATCGTTTCCCAGTTTGTAGATAGATGCTCATGCTGTTGATCACTGGATTGTCTGGTCCAGACTCAATTATTTACAGACCGCCGCGATATATACTCATGCCAATAATGTTTGTCACCCCCTTCATTTTTTTTTAATTGGAGAAGGGTTGGGGGTGTGAAGTGTGTAGGGGGTTGGGGTGTGTAGGCGGGTGTAAACCATTATTGGCATGAGTATAGTTGTAATATTTCTGAGTGCGGCGTAAAACACCAACCAAACAACCAGATATCGTATAGTTATATACAGTTCATACAGTAGATTCTCTCTGAAGGGGTCGTCAGCTTTGTTTAACTGATAGAGCGTGTGTTCGGAAATTCGTTGGTTCGATCCTCGAGCATGTTATACCAAGGCGATAGAAGATGGTACTTGTTCTTACCCTGCCTGGCGTTCGGTATCTATACGGTGACATGGTGGTCGTACTGAAAACAGGATTCGAGCCTTCGTACCTGTCCTCATTGGTGGGAATAAACGTGAAGTTTCAGCTCCATTGGCCCAGTGGTTTCTGGGTGCGACGACATCATATTCTGAGACAACTTTGGTATGTGCAAAAGTCAGATCAAGGTTAGTTGTTGACATGTCGCAAGTAATGAAACATAAATGTTGCTTCCCACCATATATACCAGGGGCGTTAGGGTAGCCAAGTGGTTATGGCGTTCGTTCGTCACGCCGAAGACCCGGGTTCGATTCCCCACATGGGTACAATGTGTGAAGCCCATTTCTGGTGTCCCCCGCCGTATCACTTGAATATTGATAAAAGCGACGTAAAGCCATACTCACTCGCTCACTCACAATTACTCCGTTGAGTGAGTGAGTCGTGTTTGATGCCACTTTTAGCAATATTCCAGCTACAGCAGGGGACACAATAATGGGCTTCGCACGATGATGTCATGTTGTGGATCGAACCCGAGCCTTACGAATACCCGCTTTAACCACTAGGCTTCCCCATGGGCTGTATAAAGCTATAAACCAAGGGCCCGTTTCGCAAAGCGATCGCAGTGCTACGACTGTCGTAAGTCTATGTTAAAGTATGGGAGTTACGATCGCTCACCTTAGCGCTCCGACTGTCGTAAGTCTATTTAAAGTATGGGAGTTACGATCACCTAAGCGCTACGACTGTCGAAAGTCTATGTTTAAGTAGGGGAGTTACGATCGATCACCTTAGCGCTACGACTGTCGAAAGTCTATGTTAAAGTATGAGAGCTACGATCACCTTTGCGCTACGACTGTCGTAAGTCCATGTTGAAGTATGGGAGTTACGATCACCTTTGACTGTCATGCAGTGATGATACCAGGTGTGGATTACAGGTTGGGCGTGCCCTGCACTACAGTTGCACGTGTTGGTTGTTCCCCTGGAAAACAAACAAGCAAAAAACAAAAATAAAACGAACACTGGAACATCCATATCGATCATCGATTTCTTCAGGGCTCCATTTTTGGCAAATCAAGGCTGGACTCGCCCATATACTAGCCCTGGAGATATAAATGATTTCACACATCTACCACATCACGTTTGGATCGTCTTTACTGAGGTATTGGTTTTGTTTGCTTGTGTCGGATGACTGGGGGACACCAGAAATGGGCTTCACATATTGTACCCATGCGGGGAATCGAACCCAGGCCTTCGGCGTGACGAGCAAGAGCTTTACAAAGTGTTAAGTCCATTTCTGGCGTTCCCCGTCGTGATATTGCCGAAATATTGCTAAAGCAACGTAAAACTAAATTCCCTCACTTAAACCCGTGAAGATCCAGGTTAAAATTGGCCTTCAGCAACCCATGCTTGAGAGAAGGGATCGGGTGGTCAGAGTCGCTGACATGGTTGATTGTTAGTGTATGTATTATAGGCATGAGATAATGGTACTTGTTATAATAAGGGGTATACAATTAACATTATTAATGACAGGGGATTAAGGGGGCAGAAGATACAAATTATGAGAGATTTAATAAAATATTTAAGATATGAAGTGATTGGTAACGTTGTAAGGTGGGAGGTAAGGTAGAAAGTCAGTAACGTAGGTAATGAACATGAAAGTAGGTCGTTGGAGCTGGTGAGTGCAGGGTGAAGTGACTCATAGCTTAGATAGAGGAAAAAACTACTATACTATCAAGATGGAGCGACGTGGCCGGGGACCTGGCCACCAGTTCCTGGTACTCTACGAGCCATATATGGTTACGGGAGAGAGACCCTGAGATTCCAGGAATCCACCTCACGGTCGTACAAATATGGTAGTGGGGGCACGAAATAGAGGTGGGGGAGAGAAATAGATAGTCAAATTATGGGTTATTGACCAATAGAAAAAAATGAAAAGGGTGTTGGCTGTGACGTAGGAACCCAGGTTTAAGCGGGAGTAAAGCTCAGAAACGGCAGTCTGGTGCGGGCCTGCTCTTGCTGTTGGTCACTAGGAATCGTCTCAGAAATTATCTTGAAGCACCAGCATTTTGGCTTAAGACTGAAGCTTTGCGGCTGAAGTCTTATAGAGTGACCATAGAGTAGGTTGACCAGCAACACAGTGTCAATAAAAACTACTGAACGAAGATCATCGTCTTGTGTTTGCTGGATGGACTACGGTAAAGTTCCAAGGGCCCCCGGGTACTGACACGGTACCTCTCGCACATCCCATATCGCCAGGACCGAAGTACGGGGGTATACCGTAGTCCAGGTAACGACACACCATCCCAGGTGAGGGATACCGACAGGTAAAATACCATCTACCTGCCAGGTAAAGGTGCTAGTCTGAACGCCTTGGAAATATGAACCAGCGATGCGGCAAATGCAGCGCCCGGACCGTCAACGGTCTTTGTCATTCTGGATACTGGCGGAAATCTGCGTGCACAGTGTTTCACAGTGTACGATTAGCAGACAGTGGAAGAGGTACCAATTCACCCAAATTGGTGACTATCGATCCCGTTCAGAAGGAAACAACGGTCCCGATTCACTCTGTACCTATATAATTGATAGAACCCGTGAAGATCCGGGTTAGAATTGCTCTTCAGCAACTGCTTGTCGTATAAGAGGCGACTATTAGGATCAGGTGGTCATGCTCGTTACCTTGGTTACACATGTCGTTGTATCCCAATTGCTACCCCAAGTACAAAGAAAAGGGAATAGGGATATAGGAAAGTAAGAAAATAGAGGAGAGAAAGGAAGGTGTTATCAAACATTGGTTTGCGTCCATCTATATTAGTAAAGGGGTCGATTTTTCTGCAAATTTGGTCTTATCTCCAGAAATGAATTTTCTATGCTGTGATTATGTTTTATTAGCGGTAATAATTTGGTAAATACGGAATAGTCTTATTGTAATGACAATTTTGAATATAACGCTTGGTTATCATAAAAAGGTGTTTTTCAAGGATATTCAACTTTGAGTCGCCAAGAAGGAAATTATTCATATTTAAGTCTAATTTTAAATAGGTTCTACATTCCAAAATTTGAACTCATTTATCATAATTTGAACTTTCGACAGGAAAAAATCAATGTTCCAGTGTTTCACTTTCTGACTGGCAAATTGTACAAAGGTTATCCTCTTATCAATACTATTTTGTAAGTATCCCAATTGCTTAGATTGATGCGCATGCTGTTGATCACTGGATTGTCTGTCAAGATTATTTACAGATAATTCCATATAGCTGGAATACGTGAGCCACAAACAAACACAATTGATAGACGTGATCGTATCTGTTGACGTTAAAGCAGGCAAGCTAATTTAAGCCTAAAGCTCGGACAGATTTGTCATTCTGTTGGCTGGGGGGTGCGAAAAATGAGCGAACTCCGGTCGATGTTGTGGGTGTGGTGATGGTGTGGTCTTGTGCGTAGAGCCCAGGTCATAATGACCCGACGTTAAGCAACGTTAACGTTGGTTGCGGAGAGTTCTTGGATGGGTGATCGTGTTTGGCACCTTGACTCCTGAGAGTCATCTGGTGTTTTACGCCGCACTAAGCAATATTCAAAACTATGTGGCGGTGGTCTGTAAATAATCGAGTCTGGGCCAGACAATCCGGTGATCAACAGCGGGGGCATCGATCTACGCATTTTGGATATGATAACATGTATCAACCAAGGCAGCAGTCTGACCACCCAATCTCGTTAGTCACCTCTTGCGACAAGCATGGTTGCTGAAGATCATTTCTAACCCAGATCTTAATCTACACAGAAACGTCGCTCTGTGCAATAAGAAGTTTTTACCAAGTAGGTTGTAATCTTCGTTAGCAATTGAAGGGGTTAGAATAACAACAGGGTTAACCACATTTTTAGCATTTCTTCATAAATGGAGGTTTTTTAAATATTTTGAATTATTATTTTTGTGAAACGCCCATAAAATCATTTATTGTGCTTGTGTTTGAAATTTTCAAAGAATGTTTGGCAAACATTTAAATACATTTTTTTGCAAACAAAAAAACACCAAAATTTGGATTTAACCTCCGTTTTATTCTAACCCCTTCAATTGACACCGTATGCAGAGTTCCATCCTTCTGTTCAGTCAGGATCTGTTGATTGATTCGAATATCAGTTTAGTCCAATTTACGACCTGTATGATTTGCCGCTCTGTTTCTACGTGCGGCAGAAAATACTATCAAAATCATGATGAAAATGTGGTTTAATATCAATACTTGACAAGATTAATACTGGTCATGATTAGACACAATCTTTATCCATAATGAGGGTGCAGTTCGTATCATGTGCAGTTCGTATTACAAGCAAGATCATCTTTCAAATAGTATCATGTTTAGAAATACCAGATGTAATTTGAGTGCCACGCTCCAACAACATGACAATAACAAAACATCACGATAAGTATTTAGCGAGTACACGTATATTTATTGAAATGATCCATTAATTTTACGCGAGTTCCCTTTAATCGGAAAATTGTAGGCGATGTTGAAAGAAGCTCGCATAAAACAATTTTCAAGAAGACTTAAAATGCCAGCTGACAAAATCAGAGAACTTATATAAATATTCATAACATATATGAATTATGTAAAGATTTGAAAATATTCAGGTACTAGTATTTATGCTCTCAGTGCTGCTTACTACAGATCTAATCATTCTGAGTATAATTTAAAGTATGTATCTGAAGATCTGAGACTAAATGCATCGTACGTAATTATGACAATGAAAACCATTATCATTATTGTTATTGAAATTACTTTTCGTCCATACATTCATGTCGTTATCAACATGTCATAACAGTAACATATCGTTACTGTAGATTCGCCGTACTCACTAACACATTTGCAATCCGGAAAATAACGATACAACTTTTAAATTCACCCATGAAAACAAACACTTGATTCTAAATCGTTCCAATTATTTCACCCACGTGATTGTTTTGCCCTGCGACGAACATACTAAAACAGAAATTATCCTCATTAACTATTTCCTGTCTGTACATTTAATAGTTCATTTATGAAAGGTCATGAGGTCATACAAAAACATGGCGGACGGAACCGAGTTGCGGAAATGGAACACTCGTCTCTCGCTCTAAAATGAAAGGATTCATTGTTCTGTGTTGCTGAGCTCAGTGAAAATCAACCCACTCGAACCGTATCTACTATTATGAATATTTCGTAGCCAGTATTCCACTATGAAGGCGTGGAAGGGAGCGTTAGTTGGGCTTCTTGGGTTGGTTATAGCGTCGATACTGTTTTTTGGATACTTTTGTTTTGATTCCAACTCGTGCGCTCTCACTCACCAAAGTGTTACGCCGGCGTATAGAACGGATCTTGATGCATTTCTAGCTGGAGCTTACAACAGACACAGTTTCCATGAGGAGGATGTTGTGCGAGATTTAGACGTGAATACCGAGGAAGATGTGTTTGTTTTCCTCCATATTCAGAAAACCGGTGGGACGACATTTGGTAAACATTTGGTTGACGATTTGATGTGGACCCGCCATGCTTCTGTTACAAGCGAAAAAAGAAGCATTGCGACTGTTTCACGAAGAACAGAAAGATCTGGCTATTTAGTCGATACTCAACGGGGTGGTCATGTGGCCTCCATCCCGACTGGACAGAGCTGACCGCTTGTGTTGATGCAATGATGAATAAGAAGGAAAAAATGAAACGCAGGAGAAGGTATTTTTCACCATTTTGGTCAATTTTACATATTTTATTTAAATGAATACTGAGAAATTTATGGATAGCAAGTTCTTGTGAGTGCTACGGAAACAAAATATAAAAAAAACAAAGTTGTTATTCATAAATTTGTCAGTAGATCTATTGTGCTTCCTAACTTCTAAAATGCCACTTAAAGAAGTTACAAGAATATTGAAACAAGCGAAATAGGGTAATCACATCTCATTTATGATGAGCCACTCCGTCATTTGAATTGTGAGTTCACCTCAGTGATGAGCTGTCATACCCGTAAAGATCCGGGTAAGAATTGAGCTTCAGCAACCCATGCTTGTCGTAAAACGTGATCGGGTGGTCAGGCTCTCTGACGTGGTTGACATGTCTTCGTATCCCAATTGCGTAGATTGATGCTTATGCTGTTCATCACTGGAATGTCTGGTCCAGACTCAATTATTTACAGACTGATGCCATATAGCTGGAATATTGCTGAGTGTGGCGTAAGTGAGGTTTTGTTATCGAAAGGAAGGGAATTCCAGAGAGGATGAGAATGATCTCTGACCGAAGGATTTGAGAATGATCTGGGGATGGTTAGTAGAAGTTGACCATTGGATCTAAGATTTTTGCTTGAAGTATATTTCTGGAGAAGTTCTTATATGCTGGTGCAACGTCATGGTAACAGCTGTATGGCTGAATTGAATGATATATGGAAACGTCCTAGAATTGACTCAGAATATAAGTCTGGGAAATAAGACTAGCCCATCCCAATGTCCTAATTCACCAGCCTTGCATTCTCAGGCAATATCCCCAAGGTATTTTTTTTAAAGTAAATGAGTCATTTTTCCCCGTGAAAAAGATTCACCACGCATCAGGCATTGACCAATAAACATATGGTGGAAGCCTTAAGTTAACACATCTGTAACCAAGGTAACGTAACCATGGTAACATGTGTAACAAGCACATAATAAGTAGTTAAGGGGTTAGTCTTTCTAACTGAACACAAACTCAGTTTGAAAATTTATGAAAGAATATTCAGAAAATTTCACGGTAAATATTTTATTTATAGATGTTTAAGGTTCAGTCTGCATCTTTAGATCCTGTTAACTTCATCAACTGCTGCCTCCTCCTCATCATCTGCTCATTGCAGCTGTTAAAATAATGAAGATGTCTAATTCCTAGCTGGCCCAGGTGGTTTGTTGGACTCTAGACATTCCAAGCGGGATGATAACATCTCAGATTATCACATTCACAAGGCTCCCTATAGTCACCAGTGCTTAATTAAGATAAACTGCATATTTGCATTAAATACATGAAATACAATGTCTCTGGAATGCAAATTTGGAAGAAATTGTTATTTTGTCCTAAATTGAGATTTCTTTCAAATATTTTTTAATTTTGTGGTCGGGCTAATTTAATGTTCAATTCTGAGATACTCAATGCAATAGTATATAACTATATATTGCAACCTCTTCCATTTTATTCATCTTGTTATCAGTGAATGCTGATAACTTAAACAAACTCATGAAAAAGTAACCAGTGAAGGTCCGGGTTAGAATATTGGTCTTCAGTAACCCATGCTTGTCGTAAGAGGCGACTAGCGGGAGCGGGTGGTCAGGCTCGCTGACTTGGTTGACACATGTCATCGGTTCCCAATTGCAGATCGATGCTCAGGCTGTTGATCACTGGATTGTCTGGTCCAGACTCGATTATTTACAGACCGCCGCCATATAGCTGGTATATTGCTTAGTGTACCGTAAAACTAAACTCACTCACTCACTCACTCACTCATAAAAAGTAGCGATTTGTTATATATGTACTGGCATAAGCTGGGAAAGTTTTAAAATTCCTTTTTGGAAATGTGTAATGCTAATAACAATTGCTGCCATCTTAGGTCCAATATAAATCCTGGGGTGTTGCAGGACAAACAACCTCAGCTCTACGATTGTCATAAGTTTATGTTATGGTATAGGAGTTACAATCACCTTAGCGCCAAGTTCGCTGTGTACAATGGCACCCTGATGAATCCAGATCTCCCAGCTAAGTTTGGATTGTTGGCGTACATGAAAGATTATACAAATTCAATGATATAACACTGGGCTCAATTGCCCAACATAGATTCCTTTGCTTGCGTATATATATTTCTTTTACCATGTTTGTTGATATTTCATTTCTGATGGAATGCAGGCATTTGATGTACATGTACTCTACTGCAGTGACATGCTTTTGTAACAAAGTGAGTGAGTGGGTTTGGTTTTCCGCCACTTTTAGCAATATTCCAGCAATATCACGGCGGTGAAAACAAGAAAGGGTTCATACATTGTGCCCATTTGGGGAATCAAACCCGAATCTTCAGCATAACGAGCGAACGCCTTAACCACAATGCTACCTCACCCCCCTTTTGTAACTAAGACATACATCACTGTTGTGAGCTTACACGACTAACGGGATCGGGTGGTCAGGCTCACTGACTTGGTTGACACATGTCATCGTATCCCATGCTCATGGTGTTGACCACTGGATTGTCTGGTCCAGACTTGATTATTTACAGACCGCCACCATATAGCTGGAATATTGCTGAGTGTGGCGTAAAACTTAACTCACTCACTCACTCATTATGTGACAAACATATTAAGCATATGCAAATTATAACCTTAATTTTGAAAAGAGCTGTTTTTTAGAAAGGTCAACTCATTGACATAAAATATACTGTTGACTGGACAGATGAGATGAGATATATATCACCAAAAGAAAGCTATTTCTTGGCATTGGCAAAAGAAAGTGTTCATATGAAATAGTCCCTTGAAAATGTATAAATGAAAAGAAAAATATAAGGAGAATTTTATGATTTAAAGCTAATATATGCATTGTAAGAAAGTAAATATGGAATATTATCTTAAATCTCTGAAATGATTAAGAAAAACAAATATGTTTGGCAGCACCGACAGTTCTGTTTACATTGTAAGCTAAGCGTTTTCCTGTCTGGCTAAAACCAGAATGTCTTTATCATTGCTTATAACAGAACTAATTGAGTTTGCAGGAATTTGTCTATGACTGACCAGATCCGCCGGAAATATCAGTAAAAATTTTGAATCAAAATCTTTCCCAATTTACTCTGATAATTGATATATTAATAACCAATCTTTTTCGGCTTGCACGGATTAAGAGACCAATGATAAAGCGAAATAGGATTGCTGGTTAGCTTTAGAGTAGTGCATTGAATGAATTTCATAAAATAACAAAAATCACAATGTTAAGAAAAATTATGGTTGTTTTTGGAATATGACTGGACCCATGAAGATCCAGGTTAGAATTGATCTTCAGTAACCCATGCTTGTAGGAGGCGACTAACAAGATCAGGTGGTCAGGCTCGCTGACTTGGTTGACACATGTCAACGTATCCCAATTGCATAGATTGATGCTAATGCTGTTGATCACTGGATTGTCTGGTCAAGACTTGATCATTTACAGACCATGTACACACAGCTGGAATATTGCTGAGTGCAGCATTAGATAACAAACTAACCAAACCAAACAGGTGTATCTTTAAATAGAAATTATTACAGATTATCTTTATAAAAAGTTGAGTAGCATACCAGGGCTCCAGATAAGGGCCGTATCGGCGTATGTACGGATAAAAATATGCACGATATGGTAGGAAATAATTTAGAAAACGTAGCAGAAACGCACCACAGCAATGATGTACGGTCTTAGAATCATTTACAGACGTATTTATCTGAAACATGATTGTTTTATTGTTTATTGACCTGTTTACACAAGACTAGCAATGCTGTGGTGCATATATGAAACGAAACACACGATTACTGATACTCCATTAAATTCCATTCAGTACTCTAAATGTACTCTTAAGGTTTTCCAGTACTCCTGTATTGAAAAAATAAGGAGTACGTACTCCTGATGTTGAAAAATTATCTGGAGACCTGCATACATTGCATTTATACCCCGAAACCAAACAAAAGGTTTTGCCTGACATATCTTTTGAAATCTTAGACATCTGTGAATGTTTCAACATGAACTGAAGTGACAGCAAGCGAAAACATGTTCCCAGAGATGGCAATACTGTACTGTCATCGTGCGAGTTATCAAGCAGGGTTTGACACTGAGGCACGACATTGTCTAGTAAATAGCTGGTCCGGTCTAATTTAGATTTAAAAAAAAAAAATCAGGTCTGGCTAGCCCGGCTGGTCATGTGGATATTTAATGAATGCTGTTTCAAATCATTGTATTTGTTTATTTTCATTTTAAAATCTTGCACAGTGTCATCTATTATAGTGAGTTATTATGCAGAGACTGTTATTAAGCTTATTTAATTGTAAAAAGACTATAAAAGCTACTATTTAATGATAAAAGTCAAGGTATACAGTATTCATAATGGTCATCAACAATTATCACATAGTTTTGTTTAACATAGCTTCTTCTAGTATGCACTGTTAACCTTCTGATAACAAAAATAACCTTGTTTTGTCTTCCAACAGTATGGTCAAGTTGACTTAAGACAGTTCTAGTAAATGTCTAGACCCACTAGTCCACTGGTCTTGTAGTAACAAATGTTAATGTTGAACCCTGTCAAGCACCGAACAGATTATGTTCACCCAATATAAACATGTAACACAAACTGCCTAATATGTCTCCTGCAATTGAGTGAGTGAGTGAGTTGGGTTTTGTGCCGCTTTTAGCAATATTCCAGCAATATCATGCAGGAGACACCAAAATGGGCTTCATACATTATGCCCATGTGGGGAATCAAACCCAGGCCTTCGGTGTGATGAGCAAACGCTTTAACCACTAGGCTACCCCACCACACCTGCGACTTCTGACCGCTGTCAACATAGTACTCATGAAATATACGTCAGAATCTGAGAATATCCTGTACACTCTGTGCCTTGTAGTTCTCAGTTCTTAGTCTTGAAGTTTTGATGGTACCTGCGTATTAACCGTGAAACAAGTAAACCCAATGCACCTAATGCAAGGCTAAAGTACTGCAGTTTCTGGGCCTCATTTTATGATATTTTATTATGGCAATTTATGGCAACTGTTGGGTCATTTTTTTTAACGAACTATTTTCATTTCAGATACTAGAAGTTAGTCGAATTTTGATACTTTTGTAACATGTTTTCATTATATTCATTGATTTGATAAAAAAAAAAGAGAGATTGGGTGAGAAAATAATCATAATAATAATAATAATAGGCCATTTATATAGCGCCTTTCCACGTCACAGGGATATGCTCAAAGCGCTTCCTGGAGTTTTTTATATCATGTTTCTTGTTGCTTTGGAGTTTCTGAACCTGTGGAATATCTAGATCTGCCTCATTGAGGGACATAGCTTTACAATAAGGGCTAGACGTGAAGGATCAAAACCGACTCCGAGGAGGTTTTGATCCAACTTATAAACGAACCAAAGACATACTTAAGATACCAGTATTTGTTTAATATTTGGGATTTATTGTCGAAATCAACTGGGATGCAACTGGCAACTAATACCTTGCCTTGTGCGCGTAATGCACATGCTCTGCACACGCTACCCGTGTCCTGCATGTGTCTTGTGAGGAACACATGGTTCATACTGACAAACAATCTTATTCTTCACAGCGATTCTTCGTAGCCTAGTGGATAAAACCGCCAAGCTAGTAAGCAAAGGGTTGGAGGTTCGAATCCAGGCATCGGAACATTATATTGGAAGTTTTCAATAATGTGATATTTTGCGATCGTATTCAAGACAAAGTTATGTCAATCTTCGAAACTTGTACAAGTTGAATAACTACTCAGAAAATCCCCGGGCATTCTGTAGGTCCCACAAATCTGAGTGTAGAGGTAAAAGGAGAACCTGGTGAGACAATAGTGACGTCACTGGAGGTTTATGAAGAAACGATGATACACGTACAGTCGAGCACCGTTGTCTTGATATTCATGGGATAAAGAAAAAATATCGAGTTATATGAAATTTGAGACATCTGACAAGGGCATATCATCAAATATCACTATGAAAGAAAACAAAACAAAAAGTAGATTTCATGTATATTTATTTGCATATACATTTTTACTCACGGGGAACACAATCTTGAAACAACTCAACAATCACATGCTAGTCACGTGATTACACAAAAACCCTCATTGCATATTCTCAGTATGTTTTGATTCGAAACTATAATCCGTTTTCAGTAGTGTTAGGTCATAACAGTGAGTACTTCCTAATTAATTTCTTCTTAATTAATCCTAATTAAATAACAAATAAGTGACACCCTCAACTCAATTAGCCCTAATTAGTTTACACTACCGCATCCCTTTGATTCATGCTGCTCCGTGTGTAAACGAGTGGAAACAACCGCAGTTCAGAAGGATACTTGCCCATGAAAGATATGTGAATATCGAGTTTCTTTGCAAGTATCGAGTTAAAGGGGTATTTTGCTTGTTTGGACCATGACATTATATCGAGATATCCGAAATATCGAGACATCCCTATCGAGTTAAAAGAGCTTGAATAATGATAAATTATGAAGAATTTTGCCGGGACCGAGATGTTACATCGAGACAACCGAGATATCAAGTTATCAAAGCTCGACACAACAGTGTTTGACTGTATATCATGCGGCATCTAAACCCATTGATGCAGCGTCTCAAACCAATGGTGCAACCCTTCTATATCAATAAAGGTCAGTTGGGCAGATATTTATATATGATCTGTCTTACACCAATGATGCGACCCATTTATAACAATTATAACGCGCTAGAGATCGGTAGGGCAGACCTTAATATATCATGCGGAGTCTTACACGATGATGCGGTCCGGCAGACCTTTTTATATAATATCACCTGCCAGAGTCTTATATCATTCGATGATGCAGCATCTCCGATCAGTGAACGCCAGATATCAATAATGACACGCCAGAGCTCACTAGGGCAGAGATTTATATATCATGCCACGTCTTACACCGAGATATCGAGTTATCAGAGTTCAACACAACGGTGCCCGACTGTGCCTGTATTATGGTTCACGGACTGTGAGACATACTAGTTAGACATGTGTGTGTGTTTGAAAGGTGACGAGTTGTCTGGTGGTGTAGTGGTTAGCATGCTGGCCTCTCACGCCAAAAGCCCTGGTTCGAATCCCAGTTGAGACACCAAAAATTTGTGACCTGGGTCTCATACTGTGTTTGTCCCTGGGCAAGGCACTTTGTCCACATTGCACTCAGTCCACCCAACTGTTTAAAATGGGTACCTGAGAAGCGGATGTACGGACCTATACGGTCACGTGAAGCGCTTAGTAGCGTCTTTAAAAGTGCAATTCCATCAGGGTAATGTAACGCCAGAAAACAGCATTGCGTTGGATCCTAGGTGCCAAAATTAGCATTATTATTATTATTAAACACAAGTGTTTTGTCTAAATGTTCAAAAAGTGATTTTCATTTATTCCTTAAGACTAACAGTTAGTCTCTGAAATGAACATATTTTACAGAAAAAAACGCTCATAGTAAAAAAGATAAAATATAATGAAAAGAAGCCCTGAAATTTCTTCATTTTCAGAAGCTGTGGAAATCTAGACTTGCCACATTTTCTAGACTTGTGTGGGCTTTCTTGGATATATTTGCTTCAGGGTCTGTATGACAGACTATTATTCCTTCTGTTATTTCTTTTTAGGTACCTGTACGTGACAATCCTTCGAAACCCGGTAAAGAGATTCCTGAGTGAATGGCTGCACGTTCGGCGTGGCGCAACATGGAAGACAGCCAAGTTGGCCTGCAACAACAGATCTGCCACATTGGAAGAGGTCCCATTCTGTTACGACACAGTTGACTGGAAAAACGTGTCAATAGAAGAGTTCATGAACTGTCCACATAACCTGGCCATAAATCGCCAGTCTCGAATGCTGGCAAATCTAACTCTTGTCAACTGTTATAACACAACCGGAATGTCAACAGACCAACGCAATGCCAAAATTTTAGAAAGTGCAAAAGAAAATCTGCGCAAACTGTCTTTTTTCGGCTTGACCGAGGTCCAGAATTTGACTCAGAAGTTGTTCGAAAATACCTTTGGATTAGAGTTTGCTGAGGATTTCGTCCAATGGACATCCACGAGGAGCAGCCAAAGTGGTCTTCCTAAGTCAGTTATTGATCGAATTATTGAATTAAATAAAAATGATATACTCTTGTACCAGTATGCAAAGGATTTGTTTTATCAACGTGTTACAGAAATGATGAAGGACCTCGATTCAAACTCTTCGGAAGAGGATTTGAAGAATCTGAAAAAAGAAGATTCTTTCGTGTTTTGATACAGATGAAGGAAAAGGGTTTGTTTATCAAAGAGTTGATGAAGTGTCGCTGCATCCTCATCGAGACTGGCAACTTCACTGACTGTTGTATTATTGTAACTTAATTTAAACATATGTTGTAGCTGTAGAGTCTCATTAGATCTGTATGTGAAGAAATATTGTGGTCTGTCACCCAAGACAGAATTTTGCTGTTATCAGAAACAAATTATGGACAGCAGTGAATAGTGATAACTTTGTTTTGGTTATGCTAATTTTCCAAAGCAGTGTTTGAAATGATGTCCAAATTTCAAGTGATCATATGATAAAGCCCACACTGAAAGGAGATGATTGAGGAAGTACTGTAGCTTTTACTCAGTAAGATGAAAGTTGTGTTTCTTGGTTTGGAGTATTTACTCCTTTTGGAAGCTTCAGAATATTAGTCCTTGAGCAGGCACTACCAAAAGTTGATACTTATGACAATTTTAAATATAGTATGACGGTTTGTAAAAAGTTAAAAGTTAAAATTTATATATAGTCCACACAACATAATATATTTTGCTTCTCAGAATGAATCCTTGGATGTCTGCCAACTGTAAATTATGCTTTTAAACCATAAACATTTTTTAAAATGAAAAATGAGGACTGGAGTATTAAAAACTGTTTACATGGCAACATATTCAGAATATCTAAACAGGGAGATTGTTATAATTTTCGCAGACTTTGAACTGGGATTTTTTAATATTTTTTTAAGACCAGTAAATGAAGAGACGTTAAGAGTTATGATATGTTATATATGATTAATGTGTAAAGATAATATTTTACACATGATGAAATGATTGCTTATCACAGCTGCCAGATGGGATCGTAATATTGATGGAAAGGGAAGTAACTCTAGTCATATGTCTAGTGACTGTCAGATAACTGTTTTGGATCATATCCGATATCATCTTGTATCATTACTCATTGAAAACTCTGGACGGTGGGGTAGCCCAGTGGTTAAAGTGTCCACTCGTCACGCCTAAGCCCGGGGTTCAATTCCCCACATGGGCACAGTGTGTGAAGCCCATTTCTGGTGTCCCCTACCACGATGTCACTGGAATATTGCTAAAAGCAGAGTAAAGCTAAACTCACTCACTCACTCATTGAAAAATCTAGATATCAGATTGGCTGTTCGCCATAATGACATTTGACACACTTTTTGGGATATTGTGATATATTGATGGATATCATTGTTTTATCAGTTAATTGATCCAGTTTGAGTTACAGAAAGTCAGATTGCAGCCACAGGATAGATCTAAGTGATAGACACAGATATGTTGGTGTACAGGGTTTTACGATTAGAACATTCTTTTACACCTTTTACGTTCAGTCTTTATTGGCCTGTTCAGCTCGTTAATCTTATATAACCTGATACTGGCTTATGTAGCTTATCTGCACATCAGGGACGGTGGGGTAGCCTTGTGGTTAAAGTGTTTGCTTGTCATGCCGAAGACTCGGGTTCGAGTCCCCACATGGGTACAATGTGTGGAGCCCATTTCTGGTGTTCCCTGCCGTGATATTGCTGGAATATTACTAAAAGCGATATAAAACTAAACTCACTCACTCACTCATCTGCCCATACAAGAAACTTTGAACTGGGGTGGCAGGTATTAAAATGTTGGTAATTCATGATAATGTTGGGGCGGTGGGGTAGCCTAGTGGTTAAAGCGTTGGCTCGTCACGCCGAAGACCCGGGTTCGAATCCCCACTTGGGTACAATGTGTGAAGCCCATTTCTGGTGTCCCCCGTCGTGATGTTGCTGGAATATTGCTTAAAGCGGCGTAAAACCAAACTCAGTCAGTCAATCAGTCATGATAATGTTTGAGACATTCCAGAGGAACAGCAAGTGGGTGTTTTTAAACAGTAGACATATTAAACATTATTATTTTTATATTTTTTTGTGTAAATGTAAACTTTTTCAAATTATAATATCTGATTATAGGATTAAACTTCAAGGAATTCAATAATATCAGGGTACTGAAAAATAAGTTTAAATGGTTCAGTTAATGGTTTAATCAACCTGAATCATTTGTCTCAGTATCAGCTGATGTTTGGTTGAGTGCACAGTTAATTATTTTTTGTTTTAACAATGGCAAGATAATGTTCTTAAATATTTCATGTTTCTATTATTGTGCGAAAAGGATTTTGAGAAATGATAAAGGACCATTAATACTCTTGGTTTGATCAAGGAGTAATTTGTTGATAACTAGCAGGGTTTGGTTTGGTTTGCGGTTATGGTTATGTCTGATTAAGTGACGCCAAAATGGGAGCCATGATATGTTGTCTATTAATATACTCTTGCAAGGGTCATTGTGGAGGTTGAAGTTTTGTTTAATTTTAAATAGAAAAATGATCTGTTCCTTAAATGCTGGTTGAAAATATTTTTTGGTCAGTTTTTTTAAAAAGAACATCCTTTTGATTAGATGACTGGACATGCTGGAATTTCTGCATAGTAATTTGTTATAGGTCACACAAAATTTGGCAGCTCCTGTCAGTCAAACATATTTTTGTTTTTAGGCACTGAGGATTTATGTATTTTCTTCCTGATAAAAATCAAAAATCCCAACTACCTCTCATGAAATCAAAGTTGACAAAATCGTTACTATGAGGGCCCAGATAGTTTTCTCAGGTTAAATGACATATATGATGTACATGATATGTGGGACCCAGTATCAAATTGTTCTCGCTTAGCGTTTTGCTATATGGAGTGGCCTCCCTTGACCATGCAAGAATCTGCTGATCCCAGAATGTAATCCTTATCCTGTCAGTTGTTGGTTTTGGATTGGTATTGCTTGACAAGGATTAAGATGAGTTAATATGATAAGAATTGTGTTGAATATTTTGCAGTTTCTTATTCTTATGATGATGAAATAGCCCAGCCTACTCTATTTACTCACTCCATTTTGATATTTCTCCGTATTTTCAAAAGTGTAAGGGTCATTTTGTGATAGAAATCATGTAACTGTGTACAAAAGATGATGGTGTCATCTGTGTGATGTTGCAAAATACTCCTGCAAGAATTACCTCCCTTGATTTTCAAGGATTACCTCCCTTTGATGCAGAAACTGCAGGCGGCTTGCAAGTCATACTCTACAGATCTGGAATGAGATACATGTGTCATTCTGATGTATCAGTAACCATGGTAACATTCTTTGGGAGAGTATGGAGAAGGGACAACCAATATTGGATGATATGATATCAATATAGAGTATTGTAAGAGGTCTTAGTGTGATGTAACAATTGAGTATGTCACATCGTTGGGTTTGATATTAGAAATTTACTGGCTAGTGAACACTTACCGCCATAGTTTAGCAGTATTTACAAAATTACTCTGCTATTCATTAAATGAATGAAACAGAATTAATTATGATACTTAACTAGCCATTCACTGATGTGTCCAGCCAGTTCACTGCCGCCGATCATGTTTCATATAACGTGGTGGAAGGGAATCATGGCAGTACAAATAGATGTTTTCTCACAATTAACTGCAACAGTTATCGCCATTCAGAATTTCTCATGCCATTCATGAGATAATATATATACTAGCCACATAAAGAAACTCTGCATTGTCAAAATATTATCCCAGTTGATAAGTACGATAACAATGTCAAAGGTACATATATGATTTAATGGAGGGATCGTGAGACCATAACAAGTCGGGCGAATTCAATTGAAAAGTCAATCACAATGACGTCACGAGTCCACAAGCGGGACAGGGGTCAAACGACCATGTCACAAGCTCAATAACGGGTATGTCCACCATCGGCATTTAGAACAGAAGTGCATCGATGACGCATAGAGCCTATCAAACGTGCAAGGAAGGCTTGTGGGATGTCACGCCAGATTCTCTCAAGTTCTGTTGCAAGGTCAAGGACGTTATCTGGCAGATGAGGAAGGCGGCGTAGACGTCGATCCATCTCGTCCCAAACATGCTCTGTCGGTGAGAGATCCGGTCAATTTGCAGGCCAAGGCAGTAAGTCAACGTTGTGGTGTTGCAAGAAATCCATAGCAACCCTTGCCGTGATGAGGGCGGCATTGTCCTGTTGGAATGTTAACCCAGGACCATGACGTTGCAGAAAAGGAATTGCCACAGGTCGAAGAATCTGATCCCTGTAGCCCACACCCAGTTAAGTTGCCCTGAACAATCACCAAAGGAGTTCTTTGGCGTGCTGTTATTCCACCCCAAATCATCACGGAACCACCACCAAAGCGATTCCTCTCCAAGACACAGGCCTGTGCATAACGTTCTCCCACGCGTCTATAGGCACGATGACATCCATCACTATGGGAAATGTTAAACCTGGACTCATCTGTAAAACAACATTTCTCCACCAAAACAAGGGTCTGCGGACATGATTTCGGCACCACATTCGGCGAGCTTGTCGATGACGTTGTCAGGATAGGCCGTATGGCGGGACGTCGTGGTCTGATCCCGTGATGACGTAAACGTTGTCGAACTGTGTTGGGTTGAATAGGGCGAAGTCCTGGGATGGTTCGGGTCTCACCAGTGCAGAAATGGTGTTCCGGTGGCAGTGGAAATGTGCAGCCACTTGTCGTTGAGACATTCCCCCACCGACCATCCCAATGGCCTCATGACGTTGTGCAGACGTGAGCCTTGGCATGCTATGAGTTTCAATAGCCGTTTAAGTTTTGAACGATCGCAAGGGCAGGGGTTGAGCTTTCCAATGTGACAGTATTGTGTGGCATTCATTTGCTCTGTTTCTCTTTCCCGGAATGCACGTGCAACAACGTATTGCACGTCTCAAGGACGAACCCACTGACGTCACGGAACGTGGTACGTGCACGCATGTTGGATACATGTCACTTATCTCTGAGTTTAAATCCTTATGTGTCTACACAGGTTTGATAAATTTAGATTTTAAATTTTTGTAGGCACAGTTTCTGTATGTGCCTAGTATATATTTATATCATACATTAACTTCGAATAATTGATTGTGTGACTATTTGAGTGTTTCATTTACAGTAGATTGATAGGGAATGAAACAATTAATGACTTGTTAACTTGAACTTGCTATTATATAGGTTGTGGGACATCCACCCAACTAAGTTAAACATTTTTTATGGGGTTCACAACTTTTATGTTTAATTTTTATCTTATGTTACTTATCGTGAAGAATTTTCTTTTGCTGCCCTTTATTGTTGTCAAATACTGTGAGAAAAAATATCATAATTGCAATTGACCGGAACTGTGCACGTGTGATACTGATGTATTGGCGATAACTGTTCTCTAGCCAGTAGTGATTCATGTTCTAAAAGCAAGAGAAGCAGTGACTCTAAGATTAATTATCCAGCCTCCACTAGCTTACATCATAAGTCCACATATGATTGAAGATTTGTCTGAAGGAGCCTGTTGCTTTAAGAATGATGGTTTATTCAATGAATATTTCTTACTTACCGGAAACATATATCGCCATCAAAATACCACCCCACCTATGAGACAACCCCACCGGAGATTCTCACAATCAATGCAAAAACATATACCGATCTTTTTCCATAATACAGAGGAAAGAACATTTGTAAACATTTCTTTTTGAAAAATATGTTAGTCTTTGGGATTTATTGTCATGACTTATCAAATTTCGAGAAGAGAATTACTTTTTGTAATGATTTTTTCAGAAAGTATTTGATCTCTGGATAATGCTTTTCTGTCTTTCTGATTTGAATCCGAATACCTCTTTTGGAATTTGGTATGCTTTGTAAGATCCTCTATAGGATGCTTTGTAAGATCCTCTATAGGATGCTTTGAACGACCTCCTTTCATACTACCAAACTCTATGTACCAAAACCTTCCACCATAGATGTCCATATCTTATGGATTATAGTTTTACTATTGTTGTACATCTTTGAACTGGTCACAACTAGCAGCTGGATGTGGATATCATTGCTGGGTATTGATGTATATGTAGATGGAAGGATGTTTGACATGTTTTGTCAGATTGTACAGAGGATTTGTGAATGCCACAGGGCTTGAAGCACTGTCACTGAGCATGAAGAAACTGGGACTATATTTTAGTCAGCTAGAGTTTTGTTGATCATATTTGTATATACTTTGAACAGACATTTTATAGAACTGAAAATGTATTGTCGGTTTACATTTATCAATGGATGAGATTGTTACCTGAGCATTTCGTTTGGTTTGCTTCAGTGGTTAAAGCATTTGGCCACAATAAATGCATGTTTCAAGTCAAAACCTGTCTGTATGTAGTGCCCTGATCTCTCTGTATAATCGTATTAAAGAAAGGTGTGCATAGAACACGAGAACATAGACATGTAGTAGAAGATGTAATATTTCCATAGGGGACAGAACACATGGTGTGAGATAGGGTGGTTGATGGGATGGTCGATGGTGAGATGGGATAGTCGATGGTGAGATTTTGGATGGTTGATGGTGAGGTATGGGGTGGTCGATGGTGAGATTTGGATGGTGAGGTGGAGTGGTTGATGGTGTGAGATGTGATCGTCAGTGGTAAGATTTGGGAGTGTAGATGGAATGGTGAGATGGGATGGTCAATGGTGAGATTTGGGATGGTGAGATAGGATGGTTGATGGTGTGATGATGGCATGGTATTAGACGGTAATTTGTCTGAGAAAGGGTGGTCAATGGTGAAATATTGGCTGGGCGAAGGTGAGATTTGGGATCATGAGATGAGAGGGTCGGAGTTGAGAGGGGGTGGTCGATGGTGAGATGGGATGGTCGAAGTTTAGAGGGGATGGTTGATGGTGAGATGGGCTTGCCAATAGTGAGATGGGATGGTGAAATTGGTCAAAAGTTGAAGGTGTGAGATTGGGTTTTTCGATGGTGAGATAGACAGTGATGAAATGTGATAATTAGTTTATTATAACTTGAGCTGGTCTGACCATAAAAGGTATTATTCCTAAAATGGATATTGAATCAACATTAGTTTCATTCTCACAAATGAAATTTTGAAAATATTTATCTTACTGGCAGATCCGATAAGAATGAATGACCATCATATTTGTGTAGTAATATGGGTGTTAAATATCCAAATTCCTTTAAATCATTTCATTGCCTCACTTCAAATATACTGCGATTGTAAAGTGTATTTAGCAACCACCTACATCATGAACAAGTTGGTAAATGAAGGAAACGGGAATATATTTTCTTATTTATATATTTTTTATTTATTATGTTTTTGTTTTTTTTATTAAGGACATTCTACAAGCCTCAATGTATAAGATGTGCTTCCTGCCTGTGGCTGTTATTCAGCTTGATATTGACTGAGGCATTTGCTAGACTTCGTACTGGGGCGGTGGGGTAGCCTAGTGGTTACAGCTTTCGCTTGTCATGCTGTAGATCTGGCTTCTTTTCCCCACATGGGTACAATGTGTGAAGCCTGTTTCTGGTGTCCCCCACAGTGATATTGCTGGAATATTGCTAAAAGCAGCATAGAACAAACTCACTCACTCATGTGTATTGGAGTTTAAATGTATGTCATAGGGACACAATGGCCTCTAGGAATGGCTAGTATGTGAATGGTTTGTCTTACATGACAGTATTTCTCCAGTGCATCATGCCTGTCGTATCTTGCATGAATTGGAGCTAGAATGTGTATTGGAGGGCCAAAATGGCCGCTGTGAATGGATAGTACTTGAATAGGCGTTTCTTCATGACATAAATACCCCTGTGCATCATGCTGGTCATATTCCACTTGAGCTTGAATGTGTATTGGAGGGCCACAATGGCCTCCAGGAATGGATAGCACTAGTTCAGGTTGTCTGACAGTATTTCTACAGTGCATCATGTTTGTCAAATATCATTTACATTGGAGTCTGAATGTTAATCAGGTGGCCACAATGGCCTCAAGGAATGGATAGCACTAGTTTGGGTTGTCATCAGTATTTGTCCAGTGCATCATGCTTGTCAAATATTATGTACATTGGAGTCTGAATGTTAATCAGGTGGCCACAATGGCCTCTATGAATGGATCATGAAGCCATCGGTTAGGATGACACAAAATCCGCCAGGTTCTAAAAAAGAAGAATGTCCGGTTCTTTAACTTTGCTGTTCAAGCAAGGTATTGTTAAAGACATTATCCAACAAGTGAGAGGTTTCTTTTGTGTTCATTTTGAAGATATTTTGGATATTTATTGACTGTGTTTGTAGGATCTCATTCTGATATGGAAGTATCCATACTTGTTCACAGTAAGACAGTATGAGAATCATGATAATTTATATTGATGTTGCTGCCAATGACAGATCTTCCAGTAGAGTAATTGTTCGCAATGTAAATATTGCTTCCAAACTATAATATGCTACTGTGATTTTTTAATTATTATGGCTTTTACTTTTGTCTGTATTTGTAATTAATGCTAGGCGCACAATGTATAGTATATCGCACCAGTGATATAGATCAGAAAATGATGTTGCATTTTCAAACTTATATGACAGGGTGGTGACACATCATGACCAAATGAATCCTTATATCGCCTCACTAATCACGATCTAGGTCACATTTGACAATCATCCTTTCCCTTGTTTCCAAACATTTACCCTTAATATTTGTTGTCAAATATGAGAATGACAAGGAAGTGCTGTAAGTCTGGATGTGGCACAGTTTGCAATGTTTTGATGTTCTGCCCTTTGTGTGCCAGGATCTGCTGATCATTGTTTTCAGCCCTGATTCTACCTGATCGTTGCTATATAAGCACTGTCATTGTGCATATTGTTGTCCTCTGGTTTCATTTAAGTGGTGTCCCCAACCATATTTCTTGAATTATTGCTAAAAGCAGTGTAAAACCATACTCACTCACTAAAGTGGTACATGTTTTTTATATGCATCTGTCTCATCTTAATGATGACTGACCATGATATATCAGAAATACTTCACATCTCACTCCCTGATAACATGGAATTGTTTCCCTTTGTCTTACAAAATGGTCAAATGGCTTTAATACTGACTAGCACTGAAGCAAAATAATTTTAGCCTAATTACAACTGATCAATTGAGGAAATACATGTATGTGGAAATTCTTCTCACTGCTAACTGAAATTTGTTTGTATTCATCATTTCCATGAGTGTCAGAAAACTTTTGTTGGGTTGATCCCCATCCTGGATTCAAACCCACACCCTGAGAGTCAGGCATCTAATCACCAGCACACAAAGTCAGCCGTCTAACCCACTCAGCCACCGCAGCTTCCACCCAACAGAAGAACTAGAATCTGTACTTTACTGAGAAAGTGTAATCCAAATATATAAATGTGTCACACAACATTGCAGCTCAGTATAAAAATAATTTTTTATCAAAAAATGAATTCAGGTTCTTGTTAATGATAAGACAACCAAGACCCCATTCCACAAACCATGTTAGAGCTAGATCATTATGGTGCTGAGATGACCATCACAATCATCTCAGCACTAAGATTTTTTGGTGGAATGGAGCTGAATTAACTGAGAATGTGTACTCTTCATTGCCTTAATGTTAGCATCACTTTTTTATTATTTGATATATTCTTCATAAAATCATGATTCAAAAGGTATTATTATTGTATATATACTCAGCATCATTATTAAAGGGTCACAACAACAATTACAGATTAGGCCAGACCAATTTTATTGCTTGTTTTACGGATTTTTGTCCTCAGAAAACCTAAAGGCAGGAGGGAATAAATTGAAAATAAAAATCGCCAGTCAAAGTAATATTCCTTTTAAATACTAAAAATATTTTATTTTTGCCAATTTATGAAGTGTATATGGGCCAAAAAACAATCAAAAAACTTTTTTTTTCTAAATTTACCTTTTTGGCCAATAAAAACATGAGGATTTTATTTTTTGAGCGGGGAAAATTCATTTTTATTTTTTTTCGTATTCTTGAAAAAATACGACCGGCGGATCCGTAAAACAAGAAATAAAATTGGTCTGGCCTTATGATATTTGAAAAAACGTAACATTTTCAACTTCCAGTAGTGTAGTACTGTTACCTCTGGTCGGAACCATTTTATGTCTACATTGACCGTTTTATGTCAGGTGTTTTTTGAATGACATTGTCTTGCCTCAAACATTGGTTGTGTCTTGGCGTGTGTTATGTGTAGCTTTCAATCAAGTTCAATCTTGCACTTTCCATTCTTTGTAAAAATTAGTTTTCCCAGTTTCATATAAGCATCCGCTCAGACTGACATAGGCACAAACGTGTTCTTCACCTGTTAATAGGTGATGGGGTAGCCTAAGGGTTAAAGCATTTGTTTTTCACGCTGAAGACCCGGGTTCGATAACCCACATGGTTACAATGTGTGAAGCCCATTTGTGGTGCACCTGCCATGATATTGCTGGAATATTGCTAAAAGCGGTGTTAACACTCAGCTCGCTCACCTGTTAATCACATTGCCAGCATACTCAGACTTGCTGGCGCTTGCTACCTAAATTCCTCTTGACACCAAGGTGACCCCTTAATAATGGTGCTGAAAATGAAAATGGTTTAAATTTGCACCAAAATATTTTTCATGTTCTGATGTAACTAGAAGCTTGATATATATACATACAACCATATGCATTTATTTACACAATATGTACCAAATTTGATGTATCTGGTGTCCTTTCTTGCCTGCATGTTGGACAAAATGTAACAGTCCTGTATCAGGACCCCTGTCAAGTATTTTTTCAAATGGACCA